TTGGAAACTGTTTGACACGTATCCCTGCGAGTGTACCCTTTGACCCTGCAGTGCCCCTTCATGTGGCACGTCTGTGTCCTGAGTCCTGGGCCGTTGGGAGGTCATGCAGAGCTGCGTTGTTCGTAAGAGCCCTGACCCAGAGTGGCCCGTTGTCCGTCGGCTGCAGGGAGCATGAACGGGTCTCGGTGTGCTCCTGAAAGGGGTGTATTCAGCAGGGGGAGTGGGTGCACGTGCTGGGGACGACGTGGCCACGCTTGAGCGCACTGTGTGCACGGGCGTGCACCTGTGAGCCCTCTGTGCTGGCGGGGGGGACGGGCAGGCCGGGGGACAGCCAGCAGGGCTGGGGTGACCCTGGGCTGCACCCAGGCGGTGGAGGGGGCCTGGGGCGACCTTGGGCTTCGGGGACCCCTGCAGGTGTTGCTCTGTCACTCGGTTGAACGCTGTGTTCATGTTTCCGTGTTTCTCTCTGTGTGTGAGCGAGTCATCGTGTGCTTTGTGAAGAAGTCCAGTGCCGGGATACTTCTGGGTGGACAGGACACTCGCATGGTCCGCCTCTGCTTTTCAGTTGTGACTGGACACAAGAAACTTGTGGTGGGTTGTACATTAAATCAGTGCCTGAGGTCACGGGTTGTGTTATTTACAGCAAACCCTCACACTCTGATTCATGACCCACCCTCAAGGAATCAGGCCTTGGGCTGTTGGGTTTTCTCCACGTAGGGGGAGCCCTGCTTAGGAGTGTTCAGGGCCCTCGATGCCAGCAGCCCTCCCAGCACATCCCAAATCCCACTTCTGGGACACGGCCGGCAGGGTCCAAGGGTCCGGCCTTAAGGCCTGATTTAGAAACAGTCCCTTCTTGTCTGAAGCACTGCAGTTGAAACTTAGAGAAACAAGTCTCTCAGGTCAATAGTTTTTATTTGTGTGGCTTACACATACTTATAAATGTAAAAGTAGAAGTCCCTCTAAACACAAGTGTCCCCATTTCTGGACAAGTGTTTATGTGGTAAATGCAAGTGATGTTAAGTCCCAAAGTCGCTGGTCACCTGAGCATCTTGGAAACTGTTGAAGTGCATGTGGATCTGCCGGTGTGCCCAGCTCTGCCAGGGGCCTCCTGCCCGGGCAGCGGGGCAGCCGGTCTGCAGCCTGCGGTGGGAGGAGGCACCGCAGACATGCTCGCCTGCCCGTCACCTGGCACAGCGCCGCAGCTGGCCCAGAATCACGTCTTTCCAGGAGAGTTTGAGGTCTCATGTCATGGCTGTGGGTTACTCATATCGATAAAGTGGAGGTGGGGAGGGAGTGTCGGTTAGGACGATCAGTGAGTTTTGATGAGAGGACTTGTCTTCCTGAAGCTGGAGTTAAGTTGTCAGGTGGTGCTGACAGTGTGGAACATCCTCCCGGGCACAGCGTGCTCATGACGTGCCTGACCAAGGATCTCGAAGCCGGTGAGACAGGGCTGCCGCTGCCTCTGCACTGAGGTGTCCACAATGCTGGGCATGTCCGTGACGCCGGGCCCCTCCGCGACACTGCATGTGCGTCAGACGGCCCACGTGCAAGGTGCCCAGCTGCTTATTCAGCCCACGCTGCACCGATCTGCAGGGTGAGCGTGGGTCCATTTCCTGTGAGGAGACCGAGGTTCAGAGCAGTCGAGTGAAGCTCTCGGGCCGTGGGCACCGTCTCGGAACCCAGAGCACGTGTCCCGCAGGCCCCCGGGTCCCAGGTCGCTTTCGGTGGTGGTCTGTAAGCACATTTTGTCTGACTCATTCCTGCGTGGTGAGCATGCCGGTGGGTCCCCCGATTGGACCGCACGTGTGAGAGTCTGTGACACAGGGTTTGTGGTGGTGGTTTGCCATGGGTGGGCGTGCCGACAGCGCCGTGTGAGCCGTGTGTAAACCGAGTCTGTGGGCAAGGGCTGTGCTGTTTAAAACATCACCCCTGCTCGACCTGCACCCCCACCCTGCCATGTTCAGTTCAGTGAAAGTTTGAAAAATGCCAGAATTTTGATGTTTTGCAGCAACATGATTGCAGCAGTAATCGTCTCCCCTGACTATCAAAGTCGGAGCCCAGATGTTTGTCATTTCAAATTGTTAACCTTTTAACAATAGTTACAAACTTTAAGGTTAGTGTTCCAAACCCTTCGTGGTTCTGTGATACAGAAAGAGGAAGGCATCTGACAAGGTGACTGAGTAGGAGGGGCCGAGCTCACCCGCGTGGTGACTCACCAGTTTCTCCACCCGTGTGTCTCCCTCCTAACCTGGACCTAAACCAGCAGCTCCCAGCCTTTCCTCTCAGGGCACACGTGAACTACCAGAGTTCTGTGCACACCAAAAATACGCTCCATTGTCTGCGCCCCTACAAAAAGGAGGTGTGGTTTTGATTCGTTCACACCTGACGGCTATTGTGATGGTTGTTGTCGTTGTTTGACAATCTAAAGAAAAAGAGGTCAATGCCCTGACTAAACAGTCAGGTGCTGCATGTTTTAGCACACGGGTGAACATTGCTGCCTGAACAGTTTCACATTAGAACACGTGTGCCAAACACACAGGGATTCGTCATCTTCTTCATGAGTGGTTTCAATAGAATTTCACATTTCTCAACTAAGTCAGTGAGATTCACTAATCTGTGTATAACGAAGACAACACTTTTTTCATTTTAGTCATTTAACATTTCTACAGCCACTACCTCTTTTCTCTAAACTTACTTTGAGATAACTAGATTCATGTGCAGTTACAAGGAATGGCAGCGATAACCGTGTACTCTGCCTAGTTTCCTCCCCAATAACATCTTGCACACCTGTGGTGCAGCACCATACCCAGGACGTCCCTCAGTACAGGCAAAATACAGGGCGTGTCCCGTCACCACAGGGCCCCTCCTGTCCTTCTGTACCACCACCCCTCCCCCACCACCCCATGCCCTCCTCCACCTCTGACAACCACGATCTGTTCTCCATTTTTATAATTTTGCCATTTCAAGAATGTTATATAAATGGAACCATACAGCATGTAATCTTTTTTTAAATCCTTATGTGAGGACATTTATCTGTCTATCTTCAGATAGAGTGGGAGGGAGGGAGGAGAGAGAGAGAGAGGGAGAGAGAGAGAAACACTGATGTGAGAGGGACATATCGACTGGTTGCCTCCCGCACGACCCCGACCAGGGCTGGGAACGAACTGCAGTAGAGGTACATGACCTTGACTGAAATTAAACCCATGACTGTTTGGTCCATGGGCTGATGCTCCAACTGCTGAGCCAAACCGGCCAGGGCCAGCATGTAATCTTTTGAGAGTGGTGTCTTTCATTCAACTTCATTCTTTGAGATCCATCCTGGTGGTTGTAAATCAACAGTTCATTCCTTTTTTTTTTTTTTAATCCTCACCCTAGGATGTGGATATATTTTTATTGATTTGAGGGAGAGAGAGAGAGAGGTGAGAATCACTGATCAGTTGCCTCCCGTATCTGTGACTGGGGATCGAACTTGCACCTAGGTATGTGCCCTCACTGGGAATCAGTCCGAAACCTTTTTTGGTACAGGAGGACGCTCCAACGCACTGACCCGCTGGCCAGGGCAGTAGTTCATTCCTTCTTATTGCGAGTAGTGTTCTCTGGTGTGGGTGTCGCATGGGTTATTAACTCCTCACCTGTTCAGGGGCATCTGGGTGTTTCTGGGTTTGGGCTACTTTGAATACAGCCTCTACACACACTGAGCACAGCCTCGTGTGCCCCTGTCCCCGTTCCTCTGGGTGAACGCCCAGGAGCACAGCTGCGGAGCCATGTGCTGGTTCACGTTGGGTTCCTACGAGAAAGCCCCACTGTTTCCATGGCAGCCGCACCATGTACGGCCGCAGCGCCGCGGCCAGGCTGCCTGTGCCCTCACAGCCCCTGGTGGTGTCGCTGCTTCTCCTCTGGGCCGTGGAGGTGAGGCTCTGGCGTGCGTTTCCTACAGATGATGGAGCCGAGCATCTTCCCAGGTGCTTCCCCGCTACCTGCGCATCCTCTTCGGGGAGATGTCCGTTCGTGTCTTTTGCCCACTTTCTGATTTTTTGCTTTTTTGTTTGCTTTTTTGCTGTTGAAAGTGTATTCTGTCATCCTCTCAACAGGGTCTCTTGTGTAGCAAAAGTGCTAATTTTCATGAAGGCCACTGTATCAGTCGGAGAACTCTGCCTGGCCCCAGGCCCCACAGATTGTCTCCCGAGGGGGCTATAGTTGTACATGTCCTATGTAAGTGCACACTCCAGGGTGAGCTACTTCTGTGTGAGATCTGAGCCTGGTCGACGTTCCTTTCCCCTCTGGCTGTCCTGTGGTCCGGCGCCGTGTGCCGAAAGGCCCTCTGTCCTTAATGGAACCCTTTTCACTTTGTCCGAAATCAGGCGGCCTGTTCCTAAGGCCCTGTTTCTGGATTCTCTGTCCAGCTCCATCATCTGTGTGTCTGCCCTGCCCACACCACACTGTCATGGTTATTGTAGCTGGATCCTAGGTCCTGAATTGGGCAGACTGGTTTCTCCCTCGTCATTCTTCTTTGTCTAAATGTTTCAGCTTCTAAATACTTCAGCTCGGTGCTCTTGGCCATGTCCTCCATGTCCCCTTGTCAACCTACATCCCTCCAGGCCACTTCCCCAGCCCCCCCCCCCGGGTTCCTGTCTCCGTTCGCCTGGGGAGCTGGTGGGAAGGTGGCGCAGTGAGATGCGGGGCCCCTTTCACCACTGCACGTGGGGAACCACTGTCCCTGAGCATCTGTAACCATGACTGCAGTGTCTGTGCAGCTGGGAAATGGAATCTTACCTCTAGAAATGGGCCCCTGAGACCACCTTCCGGGTAGAGACCCTTCTACCCGCTGGGAAGGGGGGGACCTCCCTGGCCCTGCTTCCAGGTCCCTCAGTGCTGGTCCCCTTGGCGCCCCGCAGACGCAAACTGTCACTTAGCCTGGGGCCCTGAGCCGCACCGTCCTGCTGGCCGAGCTCCTGCCCGGGGACTGAGGATGTGTCCCCATCTTTTCCCACCGGTGGCAGGAGAAGTCGCTTGTCTTGGAGTCAGCGTGGAAGAAGGAGAAGGATGTCGTTTCCAAGGAGATAGAGAAGCTCCGCGTGTCCATCCAGACCCTGTGCAAGAGCGCGCTGCCCCTGGGCAAGATCATGGACTACCTCCAGGAGGACGCGGACGCCATGCAGAACGAGCTGCAGCTGTGGCACCGCGAGAACCTGCAGCACGCGGAGGCGCTGCGGCAGGAGCAGAGGTCAGGGGGCGGGGCGGGCGGGGCGGAGCGGGGCGGGGGCAGGCAGAGCAGGGCGGGGTCAGGGCGGAGGTGGGGGCGGAGCGGGGCTGGGTCAGAGCAGAGGTCAGGGGGCGGGGCGGGGCTGGGGTCAGGGCGGGGGTGGGGGCGGAGAGGAGTCAGGGTGGGCGGGGTCAGGGCGGGGGTGGGGGCGGAGAGGAGTCAGGGTGGGCGGGGTCAGGGCGGGGGTGGGGCGGAGAGGAGTCAGGGTGGGCGGGGTCAGGGCGGGGGTGGGGGCGGAGAGGAGTCAGGGTGGGCGGGGTCAGGGCGGGGGTGGGGGCGGAGAGGAGTCAGGGTGGGCGGGGTAGGGCGGGGGTGGGGGCGGAGAGGGGTCAGGGGGGGGTGGGGCGGAGAGGAGTCAGGGTGGGCGGGGTCAGGGCGGGGTCAGGGGGCGGGGTCAGATGTCCCCAAGTCTGTAGGCCTGAGGGCCCGCCCTGTCCTCTTGGTTCCCGCATCCTGGGCAGAGTGTGTGTTTCTTTGTAGCACTTAGAAAAGATTTGGATTCATGTTCATACACAAACCAGATTTAGCCATTGAAAAAACAGTGAACTTTGCAGTTTGGATACCATGGTTTTCATGTGTTTTATCAAAATTCCCAAAGTTTTATAACTTTGTAGTTCAAAAAAAATTTAATTTTTTACTCTAAAAGAAATGCTGGTGAGCCCAGCCTGTGTGGTTCAGTGGATTGAGCGCCGTCCCGTGGACTGAGAGGTTCCGGTTAATTCCTGGTCAAGACACATGCCCGGTTGTGGGCTCAGTCCCCAGTAGGGGGCGTGCTGGAGGCAGCTGGTCAATGTTTCTTACATTGATGTTTCTGTCTGTCCCTTCCTCTCTAAAAAATCAATAAAAACATATTTAAAAAAAGAAAGAAATGCTGATGAACCCATTTTGAAATTTCTACTGTAAAAGAAACGTAAGAGGCATTAAGAAGATAATTTTAGAAATGTTTGACATTCTGTACTTAAGTCAGTGAATCGAGGGTGCATATAATTATATCAACTGTTAAGTGTGTTTTCAGAAAACACTTGGTTTACTTCAATGATATATCTAAGCCATGTAATAAAAAACTATAGTATAATGAGTTCCTACTCTTTATTATTAGTCTGCTAATTCTTAAAGAGTCCCCTGCATTTTAAAAGGTACAGTGTGACAGAAGTTGGGCAGTCGGAGACCCTGTGCCTGTCCCAGCAGGAGGCAGGCCCTGCCACCCAAAGCTGGGAGCCTCCCGCAAAACCTCTCTCAGCCAAAGGGTGTGAAGCGAAGAGGCAACTGTTAGTTTATATGCAGAGTTTTGAGGTTCCTAGACCCCCGAGATAATCTACCAAATCATAACACATAGAGCCTCTGATAACACTGATGCAGTGATAGCAGGAATGACGTGATAAGCAGCGCACCTGCGCGCTCCGGCCCCTCCAGCTCCATGTGCCTGCCCTTCCGTCCGTCCCTAGGGCCGCCTGAGCCCCGCGTGGCTTCTAGCAGGACCAGAAGAGTAACCGGCAGCTTGCAAGAGTCCTCTCTGCGCGTTAATAGGCAGGCGCAGGCGAGCTCGGCACAGACACAACGTCTGTATTTCGTTCACCACGATGACATCGCTTAATTCTGCCCAGTTTTAGGCTAAGCCAACACCCTAACGAGCTCCCTTAGGCTCTCTGATACCACAGGACACCCTGTCTTGCTGACGGTGTGCAGCACGAGTCCAGCTCAAGCCCAGATGCCCAGCGCAGTCCAGAGCACCGGCGGCTGGTGCCCCACGCAGTCCAGAGCACCGGGGGCCGGCGGCCGGCGGCTGGTGCCCCGCGCAGTCCAGAGCACCGGGGGCCGGCGGCCGGCGGCTGGTGCCCCACGCAGTCCAGAGCACCGGCGGCTGGTGCCCAGTGCCGAGTGCGGCCGCTGGTCCGCGTGCTGCCGCTAAAACGCGCGCTGAGGCTCTTTTCGCTTGTTGCCTTTTTCCGTAAAAACTAGAATCTTCTTCGGATCCCTTTCGGTTTGTGAAAACAGTTGCTAATGTAGGACCTTCAGAAAAGCGAAGTGTTGTTGTACATGGACTTTCCAAAGGCGAGGATGCCAGGGGTGGGAAGCACTGGCCACATTTCAGTTGAAGGTGTGGAAAGCTGTCCCCCCAGACACCTCTTCCTGGAAGAACCGGACGCGGCTCTAGGACAGGATGGCTGGAACTATCGCTGCCCTTCGTTCTGCTTTCATGTGCTCAGAAGCCCAAGGGCAAGGTTAGGCCTGGCCGAGGCTGTCCTAGGTTTGTCCAGAGCATCCCGTTGTGCAGCCCATTAGTGAAAGGCCTCCTGGCACGCCCTGCACAAGTGAGCCGGGGCCTCAGTGGGGACCCTTGGTGCTGGGCAAGCCTGTCCTGGGGCTGGGGTTCCTCCACTGAGGAAGGTGGCGCGTGTCATGCTGTCCAGGTGTCGCTTAGTGTTGATGGGCCTCGATGCGCACCTCCCTGCTGTCCCCAAGGCTCTCTGTGACGTCTGAAATTTAAGGCCTTTACGAAATGTCAGCCTCCTTTGTATAAATTTCATGTTCGACTTCACTTTGGGTCGTGGGGTGTGGAAATCAGTGCATCTCCCGAGGGTGAGGTTGTCCCTGTTTGTCACTGTTGTGTCCATTGCTTCTGCCCTTTCTCTTTGGATGTGTCGTCTTTCAGGGTTTTAATTAAGAAGCAGATCTAGCCTGGCCGGTGTGGCTCAGTGGTTGAGTATCAGCCCACACACCAAGAGGTCGCCGGTTCGATTCCCAGTCAGGGCACATGCCCAGGCTGTGGGCCCGACCCCCAGTGGGGGGCACACAGGAGGTGGCCAGTCACTGTTCTCTCTCATCGATGTCTCTCTCTCTCTCCCTCTCTTCCTCCGTCCCACTCTTATCTGAAGATAAATAGAAAAAAAATATCCTTGGTGAGGATTAAAAAAAAAAAAGAAGCAGCAAATTTAGCCCTGGCTGGTTTAGCTCAGCAATTAGAGCGTTGGCCTGCAGACCAATGAGTCGCGGGTTCGATTCCAGTCAAGGGCACGTAGCTTGGTTGGGGTTCATCCCCGGCCCTGGTTGGGATTGTGCAGGAGGTAACCAGCCGATGTGCCCCTCTCGCGTTGGTGTTTCTCTCTCTCTCGCTCACCTCCCTCCCTCCCTCCCACTCCCTCTAAAAATCAGTGGAAAAAATATCTCTTGGGTGAGGATTAAAAAAAAAAGAAGCAAGTCTGAAATGAGACGAGACACTCACGCGCCCCTGCTCTGCCTCCGCCAGCATCACAGACGGCACCGTGGAGCCCCTGAAGGCCGAGCTGCTGGAGCTGGAGCAGCTGATCCGAGACCAGCAGGACAAGATCTGCGCTGTGAAGGCCGACATCCTGAAGAATGAGGAGCGGATCCAGAAGATGGTGCGCAGCATCAGCACGAGCTCGCGGAGGTGAGCTCCCCCGCGGCTCCGAGCTCGCGGCCGCCTCAGCCCGAATAAAAGGTCGAACATCATGTTCCTTAACTCTCGGCGTGCAGAGCGAGCGAACAGTTCACGTGTCACCCAGCGATCCCCAGAGCTTTAGAACTGTGGGCACAGTCAGTGTGTAAAAGACACGTTTCCTCCCTTCCTCTGGCCGGGCTGCTGGCTAGTGGTGAACACCCTGCTCCCCCAGCGCCCGCGAGGGGACGGCCTGCGAGCCTGGCGCGTGGCGGCAGCTGGGCCGGTCCGGGGCCCACGCTCCACGCGGGGCGCAGGCGCGCGAGGCCGCCCAGAGCCCCGGCTGCAGGTCTGGGAGGACGTCGGCAGCCAAGCGCTGAGTGGAGGGTGGCCACATGGGCTGAGGCACCTGTACACAGGCTGAGGCCTGAACGAGGATACATTGTATTTTTAGTTCATTTGCACTTGAAAAGGCTTCATTTCAGCCTGTGTCTTTGCAAAGGTATACGTGGACTTTCTTTAGCCTCTTATAACCATATAGACTTCTTCATGAAATGTTCTCATTGGTCCCTGTTCTCTGTTGGTCCCCGAAGGGTGTTTCCAACCCTTCAAGTTCGTAAGTTTAAGGAGGAGACTTCAGTGTGGCCCTCATGACATTGTCCGGACGGGAGCTTGTCCCCGGCTGCCCTCACTGTCCTCGGGGACGCCCTGCTCCCCCTGGCTGGCGGCCTCGTGGCCTGTGGGCCTCTCCCTGGCCCTGGCACTGCGCCTCCCTCCCAGGCCCGTGCGCCCGAGGGACGGTGGTCTGGGGTCGAGAAAGGAGGGCGTAAAAGGGGGCACGGTTTACCCTTTGTTTGGATGTGACCATTTTTTGGGGGGGGGAGAATATTTTTTAAAGCAAAGTTTTTTTTTAATAAAACATGGTTTATATTTAGTTTTTCACTTACATAGAATACTGTCCGTGTCTTCAAGTTTGTGTAGAAAGGATTTCACTGTTGGAGGCACACAGACTAGTCCCAGTCCTGATACCTTTGTTCCTAGGGGCTGTGTTTATAAAGTAAACCAAGGAGTGCTGTTGGGTGTCCGCACGGCCCAGGAAGCCGTGTTCGTGGGGTCAGCACAAGAGGTGGCACCACTTAGTTTTTCTTGGTGTGATTTCCAAAGTCGGTCTCTAGGAAGGTACCATGTGATTTTCTAAGCTGAAGAAGTTCAAGGCCGGATTACTAAGCTCTACCACCTAGAAACACTGGTCTTTCTCTCCTGAAGGGCACCGCAGGCTTCCACCGGATCAGAGTGAGCTGCCGGCCCCGCGGAGGAGGGGCGGCGGCTCTGTTACCTCGCGCCTCACTGCTTGTCCGTGGTGCTGCCCCCCGGCGGCCACAGCTGAGCGGCCCTTGGCTCCGTGCGGTGGTGAGGTGTCTGCCGCCACGGACGTGTCCATGACTCGGGTGTTTGTGTTGCAAAAAATCACATACATTATATGTGGTAAAGTTTTGTATGATGTAGCCTATCAAACTGTATCATAAAATCTATATTTTATTTTATACATAAATCATTAAAAATAATCATATTTTTTCTATAAGTGTGTATGGGTCGTGCAGTTCAGCTCACACCTGGAGAATGTGTAAGCATTCGGAGTTTTTTAAAGTTTTGAATGTGCATTTTGTTTTTCTTTGGAAAAAGTTCAGGGAGATTTATCTTTTCATTCATATTGTGACACTCGCTCCTTTTCTGTTCAACGGAGGTTTTGTAAGACAGGTAAGCATTTATCAAATGTTAAGATCATTCGCGAAGTTCTAGAAAGCCTGAATGTGATTATTACTGTATCACAGATGAATTAAATCCTGGTGTTTTTTATTTTGATGAAATACACAAACGGGATTCCGAAGTGCTGTCTCTGCTCTGGTTTGTAAGTTTTCAGAAGGTACTGGAGTTGTACTTCATCAGTTTAGTTTAAAAGCTGAGCTGACAATAATGTATATTCAAAGGAAATGCGTAAACCTTTGGAAAAAATAATTGAAGACAAAAAATTCAAGCTTTCTACCTTGATTTTTATACTTTTTCTTTTTAATAAGCAACTTAAAGATAATGATTGACACCTGTGAGGAGAGGGTGGCCTCAGTAGCAGCGCAGGTGGGGGTGCGGGGCCCCCGAGACGCCGCTGCCCCCCTGCTGCGGGCCGACCTGGCAGTGAGTTTCTCCTGCGAAGGAGACCAGGCCTGACCTTCCTGCTTTGGACGGACAGCCGGACGTGGGAGGTTGGGCCATTTGCTTGAGCCTCCACAGAATCAGCCACGGAATGAGGCCCACACACGAGGTTGGGAGGGAGCACAGGCGTGCCCACCATCAGGGCAGAAATTCCACGCAGCCGGGACGGGTTCCGGGCTCCGGGTCTTCCACCAGAGGCGCAGGCCGCCTGGGTCATCCTGCCGGGAGCCCACCAGGAGCTCAGCGGCTCTGAGCTCACCTCGGCCCGGTGGCCCGCTCGCTAATAAAGGGTCTGTGTTTCTGACGGCCCGGGGAGGCAGTGTTTACAAGCCCTGCAGCAGGGCGGAAGTGAGGCCCCAAAGGTCCCCTTTTGCTTTCGTGTGTTTTCATAAAGGGAGTTTGGGAAGGACTTTTTAATTCATCAAGAGAGAAGAAATGTAAATGGCTTTTAAACTATTAAACAGGTTTGGCTCAGCGGTCAGAGCGTTGGCCCACAAACCAGAGTCCCAGGCTCGATTCCAGCCAAGGGCATGCACATTCGGTTCATCTTGGCCCCTGTTGGGGTCGTGTGGGAGGCAACCAGTCACGTGTCCCTCTCACGTGATGTTTCCCTCCCTCCCTCGTGCTCTATCTGAAGATAGATGGAAAAATACCCTGGGGTGAGGATTAAAAATAATAATAATAATAATAATAATAAAACTGCAAAACGAGTTTCTAAGTCCATATTTAGGGCTGACTTCCAAATTTTAATTATCAGCTTAAACCAAGCGAGTCTCTCTGGTAGGAAATGGGCTCAATACGCTGGCCAGTCCCAGGGGTCCAGGGCTTGTCCCCGGGTGAGGGCACAGCCCCCCTCCAGCCCATGGCGAGCCCCCGGGTGAGGGCACAGCCCCCCTCCAGCCCATGGCGAGCCCCCGGGTGAGGGCACAGCGCCCCCTCCAGCCCATGGCGAGACCCCGGGTGAGGGCACAGCGCCCCCTCCAGCCCATGGCGAGCCCCTGGGTGAGGGCACAGCGCCCCCTCCAGCCCATGGCGAGACCCCGGGTGAGGGCACAGCGCCCCCTCCAGCCCATGGCGAGACCCCGGGTGAGGGCACAGCCCCCCTCCAGCCCATGGCGAGCCCCCGGGTGAGGGCACAGCCCCCCTCCAGCCCATGGCGAGACCCCGGGTGAGGGCACAGCGCCCCCTCCAGCCCATGGCGAGACCCCGGGTGAGGGCACAGCGCCCCCTCCAGCCCATGGCGAGCCCCTGGGTGAGGGCACAGCGCCCCCTCCAGCCCATGGCGAGCCCCCGGGTGAGGCACAGCGCCCCCTCCAGCCCATGGCAGACCCCGGTGAGGGCACAGCGCCCCCTCCAGCCATGGCGAGCCCCGGGTGAGGCACAGCGCCCCCTCCAGCCCATGGCGAGCCCCCGGGTGAGGGCACAGCGCCCCCTCCAGCCCATGGCCAGGAGGCCCCCCGGGTGAGGGCACAGCGCCCCCTCCAGCCCATGGCGAGCCCCCGGGTGAGGGCACAGCGCCCCCTCCAGCCCATGGCGAGCCCCCGGGTGAGGGCACAGCGCCCCCTCCAGCCCATGGCGAGCCCCCGGGTGAGGGCACAGCGCCCCCTCCAGCCCATGGCGAGACCCCGGGTGAGGGCACAGCGCCCCCTCCAGCCCATGGCGAGCCCCCGGGTGAGGGCACAGCGCCCCCTCCAGCCCATGGCCAGACCCCGGGTGAGGGCACAGCGCCCCCTCCAGCCCATGGCGAGCCCCGGGTGAGGGCACAGCGCCCCCTCCAGCCCATGGCGAGCCCCGGGTGAGGGCACAGCGCCCCCTCCAGCCCATGGCCAGACCCCGGGTGAGGGCACAGCGCCCCCTCCAGCCCATGGCGAGCCCCTGGGTGAGGGCACAGCGCCCCCTCCAGCCCATGGCGAGCCCCCGGGTGAGGGCACAGCGCCCCCTCCAGCCCATGGCCAGACCCCGGGTGAGGGCACAGCGCCCCCTCCAGCCCATGGCGAGCCCCTGGGTGAGGGCACAGCGCCCCCTTCAGCCCATGGCGAGACCCCAGGTGAGGGCACAGCGCCCCCTCCAGCCCATGGCGAACCCCTGGGTGAGGGCACAGCGCCCCCTCCAGCCCATGGCGAGCCCCTGGGTGAGGGCACAGCGCCCCCTCGAGCCCCCAGCTGAGATCTCAGCCCCGCTCTGGGCCCCATGGCGAGCCCCAAGGTGTTGGGTCCCTTTGTCCCTGCTGCCAGTGAGCCAGGTCTGCAGGGGGACGTGGGGCCCGCAGCAGCTCTCAGCCAGGGACGACCAGTTACCCTCAGACCCACGCTCAGGGCGCCCCTGGCCTGTTCCGTCCCAGACCAGTTACCCTCAGACCCGCGCTCAAGGCGCCCCGACTTGTTCCGTCCCCAGAGGCGGCTACAGCAGGTTGGAGATGGGGCCAGAAGGCGCTGGGTCCGCCCTTTGAAATCTGTAAAATCCTCCAGCATTTTGCAGGATCACAGCTGAGGGTGGGCGCTGGCGTGAGCAGTGCTGTGGGCGCTGGCAGGATCGTCCCTGCCTCACTGCCCCCCCCCCCCGCCCCGCCCTGCAGAGGGAGGCCTGTCCTGATGTGGGAGGTGCAGATGCCCTTCCCCAGGCCCCTCCCCACCCTCCAGCGGCATCCTGGCTTGGACGGTGGGACTCTGGCCCCTCTCCGCGGGTGAATCTGCCCTGCCTGCTGGCCAGCGACTGTGAGGGGACAGGCCCCTCTGAGCAAGAGGTGCCCTGAGCCTGTGGGCCTGCTGGCCACCGAGTGAGGACTGGAGCATGCAGGTGGGGCTCCGACCTCCTGCGTGGGGCGCTGGACGAGAGCCAGGCCGGTCCTGCAGAGCTAGCGGCTTTGTCTCCCTGAAGCGCACGAGCCCCTGACCCGGCCGTTCTCGGCCAGAGCCGCCTCCGCAGAGAAGCTGCCCGCGCTGCTCGGTGGTGGCCGGCCGGCCAGGCAGGCGTCGGCCTCCCTGGGTCCACAGGAGTGGGGTGCAGGCAAGGATAGGTGTGTGCCCCTAGAACGGGAGGCCCAGCTGAGAAAGTGAGGGTCACCCCAACGCAGGACTGGGCTCCCGTGAGGAGAGCAGGGTCCCTGTGTCTGGCCTGCTGGGGGCCCTTAGCTGCCTTGCCTGGGGGTGGGGAGGGGGAGGCTGGAGACCCCGCAGAGCCCAGGCGGGCCGGGCCCCAGATCACACCTTGGCGGGTGCAGACCTCAGGGATACAGTGGACCTTTCTCCCCCAAATTAACCTGAAAATTGAACAGAATAAAAAATGTCAGATTATTGAAGAAATTGTTTTTCTTTTTTTTTAATCCTCACCCAAGGATACTTTTCCACTGATTTTCTTTCTGGTGGTGGTGGTGGGGGGGATGTGAGAGACACACATCAATTTGATCCCGCACGACCCCAACCGGGGCCAGGGGTCAAACCTTTAACCCAGGCCCTTGACTGGGAATCCAATCCCAGATCCTTCAGTCTGTAGGCTGATGGTCTAACCACTGAGTAACACCGACCAGGGCAGATTATCGAAGAAATTTAAACTAATATCTTATAAAGCTATAGTACTTAAAACAAAGTGGTCTGGTATCAAAAAACATAAACTAATCAATGAAACAGCATAGGAATTCCCAGCCAGATACACAAATCTGGAAATGTAGTCTCTGCTAAGTGTAGTATTTCAAAGAGGAAATATTTGAGGTTGTTTTCCAAATAAATGGTACAAGAGCATACGGTTATCCGTACAGCGAAAATATCACATACAAAAATAACTTCCTCAAATAAAGAACTTAGAATGTGAAAATACTAGAAGGAAATGATTGGAGAACATTTTACATTTATAACGTATGCATGTTTACATTATGATGTACTATTTGCACATGTATGTTATTCGCAGTGGTTCTGTTTTGTGAAGACAGCATCATATATAGGAATAGGGCACTTGGAAGAGAACATCGTAGGTGGAGAACTTCCTGAAATAGACATGATTTTCAGAAGCCATAGATGAAGAAAAAGAGCATTTGGCTTTATAAAAATTTAAAAACTTCTACCCTGGCCGGGTAGCTCACTTGGTAAGAGCATTGTCCTGACATGCCAAGGTTGTGGGTTTGATCCCTGGTCAGGGCACATCCGAGAATCAACCAATGAATGCGTCCCTCTCCCTCTCCCTTCCTCCACCCTCTCTAAAATCAATACAATTAAAACTAGTTTAGCCCTGGCCGGTTTGGCTCAGCGGTTAGAGTGTCGGCCTGCGGTCCTGAGAGACCCGGGTTCGGTTCCCGCTAAGGGCGCGTGCCTCGGTTGCAGTTTGTCCCCGGCCCTGGTTGGGTCGTGCGGGTGGCAGCCACTCGATGTGTCCCTTTCACGTCGATGTTTCTCTCTCTCTCTCTCTGTTCCTCTATCTCCCTCCCGCTCTACCTGAACAAAAAAAATGGAAAAATGTCCTCGGGTGAGGATTAAAAAAAACAAACAAACAAAAAACTAGTTTAAATATATAGCTAAGCAAAATTTAAAAAGCAAGTGATACACCGAAAGAAGTATTTGCAACATCTCCAACAAAGAGTTAATATTCCTAAGAGAGAAAGGCTTGTTAATGAAGGAGAAAATACAGCCCCCCTCCATGGTGGAAGACAGGCGATAAGTACATAAAACCAGCGTTTCCCCTCACCACTGAGAACAAGGCAGAGCGCTTGGGAATCCAGACAGGAGAGGGGTACCTGGGTGTGGACTCCCACAGTTCAGGGCCCTGCCCTCAGCCTGTGCGGGGCTCACTGGTAGCTGGTGACTCTGAGCAGGTGGCTGAAACTCTCCGCACTTTCTAAGTGTTGACTTGATTCATCCACCTGCTACCTGCTTCATAGTCCGTGGTCTGAGGACAGGGGCCTCACTGCTTATAAAGTACTTAGATCAGTAATTGGCACTGATCTAAGTACTTTATAACTTAGAAGTGTTGGCTATTTGTTATTGGCTGTTTGT